ATTTACTATTTAATAAATGTTTAAAGCACTTCTGAAGCCAAGCAAATATCATAAATAATTTCATATAATTTTGGTTGATTTATTTCCGTGGCATTTTATGTTTGCCTTCTTACACTCCGTTTGCAAAAATGTATGAATTAAAACTACGTTTTGAGTAACGGAATTACTGAGCTAAATATCGAAAATGTTAAAAATTTAAGGAAGCTCTGTAGGGTTAACGCCGTTTAGGAAATGGATCACCTACCGATTTATTATCATATTTATGATTTCATTTTCTTAAAATTGTGTTTGGGTACCGACTTCCTTAAATTAGCATAACCACTACCTTTACTTCCGGAATTTCCCACTGGGAAAAATAAGAAACGTGGGAGTTATCCGGCACGTGCTGGAAATCGCACGGTTTAAGTTTGATATCGAATTTACAAATCACTCGTATGATGAAATTCACTTGATTTTTTCCAGGCTCGAAACATATATTTTTTTTTTTGGCTTAGTATTTTTTGGCATTTCATCATGGAAAGACTAATGCCTGAACTGAACAATTCACGTTCTGCACAGAGCGCGATTCGCTCAACTTATGGTCAACATCCATCACCACCCATCTTGAGATCCATCATTAATTATTGGATAATATTGAACCGAATAGACCTCGTGCGAGGTCTATGAACCAGTGAAGAAAATATAGCGACGTAGCTGAGAAAGTACACGACGAAGACCTTGGAGAGTCGATTCGTCGTTCGCAGCAACTCGCGCTGATGTAAGGAAGTATGGAACGACTTAGCAGATTTTAATTTTAATTAAAAAAAATTTAGTTTGTGCAAGAACTGAAGGTGGTCGACTTTCCCAAGTGACATCGCTTCACTCTATGAGTACTTGAGAAGTTCCGGTATATGCGTAATGATAATATCCATAAAGATCTAAATATACCCGCCATCAAGGAAGAGACTAAAATCGCAGCACCTAAATACTTAACAAAACTGCATAACCATCCGAATGTTCTCTTGAATATTAATAAACAATATTTTTTCCATCGAAAAAAATACTCAACTTAAAGGCGGAGTTGTCTGTTCCACTGTTCTTTTTTTATAGCAAAAGTGAAACTAACCAGGCGTTATTGTTCATTAGAATACTGGCGCATATTATTGCAATGGATAACTTTTTATGTAGTAAATTGTAATAATTATTCGATTAAAACTCCTCCTTAAACCTTCAATAACGATGCCGAACGCTCTGAAGATGAAGAAACCGAGAATGTTACTGGAGACGAAGAGTTGATAATATCGGATCGAGATTTTGTCCAAATAGAACATTATAATCACCAATTAGAATATGAATCCACAAGCAATTTTCTCTTAGTACCTACCTGCCTAAATGTAGATCAAGAAACACTCAAAGGATTCTTAATTTTAAGAACCATTTCCTATACTTCGATAATTTTTATACATTGCTCCCTCTTTTCTAAAGGGACAATTCGTAGCTATCGCATACCGAACTGCAAGCTATCGAAATGTGATTTCGGCCGCGGTAGCCGAGTGGTTAACATTGCGAACTGCCATTCGGAAGCCTCGATTTAAAATCCAAGTGCCGCCAACATCAAAAAGTTGTGGAAAATAATTAAAATAAAAAATAAAATTAATATTTCTAATTGCTGTCACCCCTCGGCAGGGAGTGTCAACACCTCCGAGTGTATTTCTGACATAAAATAAAAAGCACCTCATAAAAAAACCATCGGCTGTTCAGAGGCGGCTTAGTATAAACTGTAGGTCCCTCCACATATATATGTTTGCAAAAAAGATCGAGGTTATTTAGAGTTTGTTTTATACAAAATCTATGCGCTTATCTTCAACATACGCGGGTAATAGAATCCAACTGACACACGTGTATGGGTGGCGATAATCTCATAGATAGCTTACTAAGGCACTACTAGATACATTCGGTTGAAAACAAAGCTACGATGAATTCATACCTACTCTCAGTATCAGCTTACACATTTGAAGCTGTCTGATTTTCGAACTGAAGCAGCCGATGGTACTTGCCATTCTAAAAAAACTTCTAAAGAGATCAGTACTGCGACCAAGAAGCGCTTCTCCAAGTAAGCTATCGAAGGTAAGCAAGAATACTTACATACCTCTGACTGTGGTTAATACGGTTTGGATTTTACATGATTGTTTCGACCGGAGCAACAAAAGAAAAAAATTAAACCTTCCAATGGTTCCAACACCAACTAATGTTCAAAAATATCTAAGTTCTGCAATGTTTTGAATCATCAAATATATAAAATTCGTTATCTTGTCTTTATTTCACATTCCCATTTCCAGACATGTCCGCCTAAAGGCGGTGTTGGGTTTTTTTCGGTCCTAGAAGGTAAACTCAATTGAATTGTGAATTTTTTCTTCAAAACCATAAATTGACTGGTTTTGCATTAGTAGAGACTTAGATAGAACTTCTTATTATTATTTAATACTAAACCTGCCGAAACTTCATAAATTCATATTCGTACCAATGCGGGTCAAGTGACACTTCTTAAAAATTATATATTTTAGGATGACTATATCTGGCTAAAATTAAAACAATTTGACTAGTTTGATACATAAATAAATAATTTGTGTTAAAAAACGATTCAAATTAGTTTATATACTTAATTAAAAAACTAATAAAAGAGATGAGAAATTAAATACTCTTCAATTCGAATTTTGAAAATCAGTTCACGATTTTGCTAACTTCATTGACATTCGCAGCAAATTTTGCAAGTTATTGCGTTTTCGAAATTCTTGCTTTTGAAAAAGATTTTCGTAACAAAACCCTATATGTCCCAGCACCTTTGGCGGTTTTGTACTCAAGAATTTGAGCCTAAATCTATTGCATCAGTCTACTGTATAAATTTTACTTTCTGAACTTGATAACGGGTTTTCTCAATGTCTTCTTCGTACGCTCAAAATATTTTTGTTCTCTCTTTATTTTTTGTCTAACGAGAAATACAAATCAACTCCGAATCTTTGCATGTGTCAAATAGTCAAATAATGGCAGGATACATATATTTTTCGGTGAAAAAGGCAAAGGCTCTACTCCTCAGCTTAAAAAATAAATTCGACCTATATTTTAAAGGGAAATTTTTGTTTTTACCCGCTTTCTTTTGTAAATAAATTTTGTATGGATGGAAAGAGGGGGAAAAGCCTTGATTCTAGAACTATTTTTCTTTTCTCTAGCTGACTTATATTTCTTTAATAATTCTTTTTTAAATTTTTTGTAATAAAAGCACAATTACATCCACTTTGGTCCTGTCAGACTACTAAATAAAATAATAATATTTTTTTTTGTATCATGGCTAGGCCAGCGTAGCCACTCAGTAAAAAAATTAATAAATCGAGAATAAATATGCAGAAAAATGAAATAATAATTTTGTTAAAAAATTAAAATAATATTCACTCGAGAGTTCTAAGCCAAATGAAACTCATTTGTGAGTTGGTGGCCTTTAATTTCTCTTTGCACTGTATTTTTTAGGTGAAATACTTTATGAAAAATATTGTTTAATTTATATATTATTTACATGGTACAGAAATACCTTTCATTTTTTTTTTTTTTTTTTTTTTTTTGTTGAATATTGTTGAATTTATGTAATACGTTTCCCTGTACGGCAACATCAACCAAATTAGTATGCAGCCATGTTTAAGAGATCATTTGTAATGATTACAATAAAATTTGCCAATGTTTATTTAAATAACATTGCGCGTTAATTTCAGGGGCACACCTAGTGTAGTGGCCTAAGAAATGTGATTTTTGGAATTTTTATTAAAAAAATACTTTATCAATTATTTCAAAATTTTAAGATTATATTTATACATGTTTCAAGAATATACTGTGAAATGGTTGAAGTAAAAAATTAAATATTTTTGAAGTTATTGTCGATCTCCAACGGCGCGAAAAAAAGGTCCTTCACTGCTGCAGTGATTACGGTCTTCTCTGTGGATGAAATCTAAAAAAAAACAAATTCTCGATAAGATAATATTGTCTGTACAATGACTTACGATAAAAAAATCAAAAATTGACAATATGGCTGCGTTTTTAAAAAAAAAATAGTCGAGTTTTATCCAAAATTTTGGTCGTTTTTCGCCTAACAAAATTTGATTTTTTGATCAGATAAGGAAAACTATGTATAGAACATGTAAAAAAAATTCGATAGTTATCGGATCATTTGTTTTTGAGTAATCACTGCAGCAAATTCGGAAAATGCTGTTTCGAGAAAAACGTGTTTAAAGATAAAGTGATCGTTTTCACTGTGACTGTAATGAGACTCTCTAGCTGCCGAGCGGCTACTCTTTAAATTGTTATGACTCAAAAAACATTTCAGACATCGATTTGAAATTTTAATATGTTATTTTGAAAGGGTTAATCTACCGAAATATGAAAAAAAATCGATTTTTTTGAAATTTCACACTAGGTGTGCCCTTAAGCAAAATATGTGAAAATATTGCATCAAATCGAAGTAATATTGGTATTTGTTAAACGAAAATGAAAGAATAGTGAACATTTCGTAAAAAAATTATGGGATGAAGTGCACAATGTTTAACAACAAATAACTTGTAAACTATAATATATATTCAAATTCCGAAAGTTAAAATATTGGAAAAATAAATCTGTCTCATCACTTCTACGAAGTTTCTTGTCGAAATTCCTGGTTGTTTGCTTACAATATAAAATGCGGCTGAAGACTAAAGCTCAGCGTATTTTAATAAAAGTCGTAAAGGCAAATGACGATAACATAAATTTTTTTCTTAACATTCTGACAAGAAGCTCAATATGGGTAGTTTAACCCGCCTCGATAAATTTGCCGTTAAATGTTTTATTTAAATAAAATGTAGAAAACTATAACAAAGTGTTAGAATTTTTGTTGTTATTTCTTTGTATTTATTTTATATCGGACCAAAAATAATATCTCTCTTAATATATTTGATTATTAATACCGTTACTTGTGAGTAATTAATGTTCTCTTTATCTTTTAGATCTCACGATCGTGAAAGCGGAGACTATGCGGGCTCAATATCAGATCTGCAAAGTGTCACCTCACGTTTAAGTGCAGTTTCGGTAAGTAGAAAAAATAACCGAAATTAATAATATAAAAATAAAACTTCTCTACACAAAAAAAAAAGAAAAACTAAAAAAAAAAACCATAAGAAAAAATGAAATAAAAATTGCAGATAACTGAGAATAGTTAAAAAATATGTAACCTGTGCACATTTGCCGACTTTTGCGTTAATCAGTAAAAGAGAAAATATTGAGTTGTCATTTGATGCAGCCAAATGCAACGAACCGCTAGTAAGCGAGCAATAACGCGCTGCAAACCTGTGGTGGCAGCTGTTGCCGGTCGCTAAATTGATTAAGTACACTTTGGCAACAAACTTTCGCTGCTGTTTCAACATTTCGCAACCAGTCAGCGAGCAATGATTTCCACATTCATTCATGAGCCATCCATTCAATTTAGCCGACACTGTCGCTGCAGCATTTCAACTGCCACAGAACGCAGAGATGCCATGGCAAAAGTATGGACGATATTCAAAAGTTAAAAGTAAAGTAATAAAATTGCAAATGGTAACTGTACATTTTTTTTTTTCAGAAAAGCTTTTAGAATTAGTTTGCAAAATTGTCGTGTCGTTTTGATTTCTGCCGCAATGCCAGCTGTCGCCATTATAAGTAGTATTTCGCATAGCTTTGCCAATGTTTACACACCCAAATACAAGAATAACTTTTTAAATTCTTGTTACGGGTTTGTTTTCCTTTGAACGGACTATTTTTTTTATTTATCTCGACCTGAAACGCTTTGTATACCAAGCATCATTCAGCGCACTCATTTATTTTCATTTAAAAGTTGCTCATACGACGCGCGACACCTTTCATTGCTAATTTGAGTGTACACTCGTATATGAGTAAATATGTGCTTTTGTATGATGATGAAAAATTACCACCGTCGGCGGTTATGTTAGCCGTTTAGTTAACAGTGTGTACTACCTTGCGGAGAGTTCTGGGTTCAATAGAAAATTAATATTTTTTTTTTAAATAAAAATTGATTTTCTAACTGCGATCGGCCCTCGGCAAGTAAAAATGTTACATGAAATTTTTTTTAATACCTATGAAATATTATATGTTTTTCCATAATGTAGGAATTTAAAGCTTAAGTAGACATGAAGGTAAAACAAATTTGATCTAATATATTTTTATGAGAACGGATGTGCCGGACATATCGCAGTATTTCGTGGTGTGCTGGTGTCATCAGGCTACTTGTAAACTTTCTTTGAATCATGCCACATATAACTGGCTATGGGAGAAGCAGCTTTCACTCAAGTCTACGCACTCAAGACACGCTTTGATGGCATCCTAGTAATAAATATAGATTGTCCTTGATAACAACCTTTTAGTACAGTAACCCCGATTACATTTCGATGCAGTACTTTCAACTGTAACCTGGTGCCATTACATAACTTTGGAGGGATTTAGTATATCCCGGAACACTACCGAATAATGAATGGCATTGTCATGTGTGTTTTATTTCTGACTGAAGTTTCCTAATTTTTTTTATGTTAAGATTGCATGCTTGCATAAACATTCTGGAGGCTCTTCTCTTTCACAACCGAAACAATGGAAGGCCATAAATAAGAAACTTTTCTTTTAGTGTGGTTACCACTCAGCAGGGAATGACAACCCCTCCAAGTGTATTCCTGACATTAAATAAAGACTCCTCATATAAAACTCAAAGGAGCTCGACAGAAAGCTGCTTCTGAAAGTCATGCCTTAATTTCGCCCTCCTTTCGCCTTCTGAAAGTATTGCCTTAATTTTGCCCTCAATAGTGTTTAATTTTTATATAACTCAAGAGATAAATAAAAAACAGATTGGTTCCGAGTCCACTTTGCTGAAGAAAAAGTGTTTACCATATCAATATATCGGTCACAGAGCCGCTTTTCGGTACTGAAAGTTTGAAATTATTCAAAATAAAAGGTTACCTGTCGACCAAATTAAATGTAAATCGAACGATTTAAAAACAAAGTCGACTTTTTTCGAATAAACCAGTCCCAGATGCACTTATAGGGACATTTTCTTAAAGGGAACATACGTCATATGCAGAATATACTCAACAATGTTCAGATCTCTATTATCAGTGGTTTAAGCTGTAGTTTAATCCATCTGTCGTTCAGAACATATATATAGATAGATAAATCAAAAGCATAATATCATTAAATAAAATAAAACAAAAGAAAATTAGCTAAAATAAAGCAATTAATAAATTGCAATCCTTACTAGAAAATAGATAATCTAATTTAAAAAATTTTGAAGACTTGAACTCTGCAATATTTTGATCCTTCATTGCTCTTAAAAGCAACCTAACCTAGTTAGAATATCAATTGCAGTTTAATATTTTATTTTATTAATTTATATTTGCATTCATTGTTCCTACTTCACTTCAGCATTTGTTGCCAATCAAAGTTTGATAGCAATTAACTGACCAAATTACAACTTCTTTACAACTTCAGCCATATTAATGAAAAATATTCTACACCTAACCCTAGCATTGCCTCCAATTTCTATTTGTATTAATACATATTTCCGATTTTTTTTTCTTACAGATCGGCACCAATAATTGCACAGCCCGCTATCGTACGCTAAGCGGCGGTATCGGTGAGTCACCATCGCTCTCGCCAAGTCCATCATCCGATTACGAGGATATTGCGGCAACGCGTGGCCTACCGCCCAGTCTGGCGGCGAAGAGTAAAAAGAACGGCGTGCCGCATAAAGCCAATACCATCAGCCAGAAGGCCACAGTGCATCATGTAAGTTAATTACCGTTAGAAAAGAGCGGAAAGTCCGTAAAGCATACAGCAAGCAACTGTTGGCGAAGGGAATGTGTTGCAATTGTATGAATGAATGTGCAAGCGAATTTACGTTTATTTCAAGTGTGCGCGCATGTGTGTGTGTGTGTATGGGTGTGTGTGTGTGTTCAACAAACAGTAAATTCGCAATTTTCCATCGTAAATCTCATGAAAATCAAAAAGTTTGCTCTCCAAATGCAAATCATGTGTGTAGAAATGTGTAAATAGGGAAACGAGTAATCGAGTAATAATGCAAATAACGAGTGTGAGTACATTTTGTTAGATTCTAAAACATAGCAAGCTCGTGTGTGTGTGTGTGTGTGCGTGTGGTGTACGTGTGCGCTTATACTTTTGCATACAAATTAGAGAAACCAATTGGCAACTGGCAGCCACCAGCAACTAAGAGCAGTGAGATTGTGGTCATTCTACACAAACAAAATTTTGTAAGTTGGCAGCTTAAGCAAATGGCCCAACAGCCACCGAGACAGCCAACCAGTCAGCTAACACGCACACATGCCTGTTGCACCCGTGCTCCCGCCAAGCCGCACTCGCTCGTGCACTCATTTTAGTTATTCAAGTTGTTTGCAGCTTGTCAGTTGTTCTTTAAGTTGTTGTTGCTGCTTTGGCTTAACATTTTCATGTTTACATTTTCAATCCGTTTTTGTATCAACATAAATCGCTGCTGGTACGTAAGCTTGGTGTGCGCGTGTATGTGTGTGTTTCTATTTAATCGTATTTCAGCAGCTTTTCTACGATTTGCGATGATTTCTACACTCGCATTCCGATGGTATTAAATTAGCCTAGGCCATTGTGGATCTTTCATTGCATTTCGCAATTTGAAAACTTAAATGTATTTGCGGAATGAATATCTGTAGTGGTTATTTGAGTCGTCTTTTCAATTGGCCATAGTTATGAAAATTCAAATTCTTTATTTGCAAAATTAACGCAGATTTCTGGCTGTTGAAAATTACTCTGGATCAGCCAATGTGGTTTTATTTTATAACGGCTGAAGTATTATTTGATATTCGAGTCGAAAGAATATATTATCAGCAGTTATTTGCACAAACTTGAAATGATTCTACTTAAAATTTATCAAAAACCTGAACCATACTTCACTGGCGTAGGCACCGCTTACGCGATGAGAGCCGATTTACAACAATGCTCCATTCGTTTCTTCTTTATGCTACTTGGCGCCAATTGGAAATACCATGTCTAGCCAGGTATTTCTCTACCTGGTCTGTCGAACGGAGAGTAGGCCTTCCTCCTCCTTTGCTTCCACCGGCGGTTACTGCATCGAAAACTTTCAAAGCTGGAATATTCGCATCCATCCTCATCACATGACCTAGACAGCTTAGCCGCTGCTTCTTGATTTGCTGAACTAAATCAATGTCGCCTTTTTACTTGTACAGCTCATCGTTCCATTATCTGCGATATTCGCCGTTGCCAACGCGCAAAGGACCAGAAATCTTACGCAAAACGTTTCTTTAGAAAACTTCTAACCCCAACTCATCACATGTTGTCATCGTCCATCGGGGACTTGCAGTGTTTGGTTTTCGTTCGCCGAGAGAGGACCTCTCTTTTCAATTGCCTACTCAGTCCAAAGTAGCACCTGTTGGCAAGACTAACTCTGCGTTGAACATACTATAATTTTGAAATTGATATATTATATACTATTAATTGATGATCTTTAACCGCTGAGTAGATTTTTGGTCGAGCTCCTCCCCCCTATTGCTGGTATTCGCCTTGTCGGTTTTATAAAAAAGGAGGTATCGAATGTTTTTTCTAGCCGTGAAGCGATTCGCAAGAAAAGACCAGAATTATGGGCCAACAATTCATGGTGTTTGCATCACGATAATGCACCGTCGCACACAGTACTCAATCTTCGTGACCATTTTGCTAAAAATTCCACGAATATTTCTCCCCAACCACTGTATTCGCCGGACTTAACACCATGTGACTTCTGGCTCTTCCAAAAACTTAAAGGACCACTTCGGGGACACCGTCTTCAGTCGATTGAGGACGTTCAAATTGAAGTATGTACTGTTACTATCGTAGCCGGCAACCATTTAATAATTAACGGTTTCAACATTTCTTTTCGTTGCGATAAATTGCCGCCAAAACGAAACAAAATCATTACGGTTTAGATGCTTTTTCAGGTCATTATTTTTTTGTTGAACATTTTTGAACGGTAGAAGTTATAGCGGCTATTTCGGAAACCGCCCACGTTTCCTCATCAGATCAAAATAATGAGCTGGAAAAGCATCTGGGAATTACTTAACAACCTTAGCGAGATTTTTTAATAATAAAAAAGGCACAAAAAAAACTATATCGCGCCTAGTTTTATAGTTACAGAATATCTGAACACATGATCGTGGTTATGTAAGTAAAAGTGAAAAAGTGAAAAACAACAATAAGTAAAAGCGGCACACATGTAGCTTAATGGGATAACCATTGGCTCGCGCTGTTGGCATACCAAGTTCAAGTCCAATTCAAAAACAAAGGTGTCTGAAAACAGAAGTCTGATGAGAAAACGTTGTGCCTTCCGAAATAGCAGCTTTAACTTCTACCATCCAAAACTGTTGTTGTAATTTTTTCACTATTTCCAAAAAATATATGGTCTGAGACAGTTGCATAAAACTTAAAAATTAACGAATTAACGAATCGAAATGACATCGTTCTGTGAATTGGGCATCTTTGCTTTGAAATCCTTTCTAAAACTTTTGAATTTTTTCCTCTCATTCCAAAGAATTCATTTTGCACTTAATAAAGGACATTCCGCTATTTTGATTTATTTATTTTATTACACAAATCGTAAGTAAAGTCCGTTGTTTTGAATTGTCGCAAAATTTCAGTGGTCCCCAGTGTGTCCGTGAACTTAAAATTTTCTACGTGTACGTATATCCATAGTTATGTTGTATATATTTAATGTATGCATGTATATATGCTTGGCTGATTAAGTGAGTGGGTGTGCTGTGTGATTTTATTGCCGCTGCGTTGCTTCTGCTGTATGGGTGTGGCCCTAAACTTTTTAATGATTTAACTAACGAAAACTTTGTCTTTCAACTTTTTCTCTTCAATTTCATCATATCAACGAATACTACAAATCCGAAACTAACTGAAATGAATTCAACACAATTCGGCATCACACACACATATACACATAAATGCATACATTTACATGTCACTCCCTGTTGGATTCTATTCGTGTCTGACAATGTATTATTAATTTTTCTTTGTGCGCGCCATTTTAACTACTTTGTTTTCATTTCGCTTTCCTTTTTTTCGTTTCCAACGCCCAACATTTTATTTATTTTAATATTCATTTTTTTTTTGTTGTTCCTTTACATTGTTTTTATATGCCTTCATTTTGTATCGTATTTTGTTATATTTCTATATTTTCTTATTTTTTTATTTCATTTTATTCTATTCGTTCTCTTTCATTTAATTTCGTTAACAACATTGTCATTGTCGGCATCTCGTACGCATTAATTTGCAAAAACAACCAAACAACCGCTATGTCGGCTACAACTGCACTAAAACTACCATTGCCACGTATGTAATCGACAACAACAACAACAACAACAACAACAACAACAACAATTAACAATAATAACAAACACCGCAAAACAACAACAATGTCAACAATAACACCTACAAACACCAACAACAACAAACGCCAACAACAACCACAACAACAACAACAACAACAACAACGCCATCTTGTTGCATTGCCGCGGCAGTCGAACGAAATGCGAAACTCACCAAAGGAAATTGGCGTATTTAATGAGAACGGAAGGAACTTTATAGCCACAAAGGATACTTCAAGGGATTTCAGCAATTCTCAAGATAATACAGACCGCGGCAGCATGAGCGATCAAGCTTTCGCATGTTCAGCAAGTTCGGTTGAAAGTTTACCCAGCGCTTCCGGTTCAAGTAAGTTTTCATTAGTATTACAATTACTAACTCGCTCCTCCTACTTCTCCTCCACCACCGGCGCCGCCAGCCAATCAAACTCCTCTTTAACCCACAAATGGTTTTTGTTCACTTTCAATTTTTCGCAAATCTACAACCACAACTGCAACCACTTAAATACGTGCTGCTCGGCAAAATGTCGGCAAGTGGCTACGTTTTGCGCGTTACACTCACTCACTCACTCACTCTCTCTCCGCTGTGTGTGTGTGTGTGAGTGTGATGTAGCAGCTGCATATTGGTCTATTAACTGTTTAGTTATTTTACATATTTTTTTAAAAAACATAAAAATATTGCCGACGCAAGAACGCAAGAGATGCAACTAACTTTCTCCTCGCCCCATCTTTGAAAGCCACCAGGGCCTTACACATTCTGTCGGGCGGGTTATACATGCTGTTATATAAGTGTTTTCGGCAAGCGCTATAAATACGTTGAAATTCTCTGAACTTAATGAATTTTTAATGTGCTGCTGAAAGTGGAAAAGTTTACAAAACAACGGAAACCAAAAAAAAAAAACAAAAAAAAATCCCAAAAATATAACCAAAAATAAACCAAATCGACTTGAGGCTGCATTCGAATAATACAAAGGATGTAATGCTGCCTTAGAACGGTAAACAGAGGCAAGCGTTAAAATTCGTATGCGTTGCAAGGGCTCACACAGGGTTCGAATAACACTGTATATACATACATATGTACGAGTACATACATATATACAAGTCAATACATAAGCACAACCAATACTCTTCGCCGTGTACATCTGAGAGCAACAAATTCTGATTGCCATTAAACAATTTTAATGAACAAAACTTTGCATATTTGATGCGGCCAAAAGTGCTGGTTCACCTCAAACCCATGAACCGAAACAATAGCAAGCAATCAAAATCTAAAATACTTTGCGCAATAAAAAGCACTAAATTGAGGAAGCAAAAGTTCACTTGCAAAGCAGAGCAAGTAAACGGTTTTGAAAGTGAATTTTCTTCGAATTTTCTAATTGAAAATTAGAAGAAAAAAAAAATGCGGTAATTAAAGCGTACTTCAACTACTGCTCGACTTGACCACACAATTGATGCAATTGAGCCAAGCAACGATTACGAAATCTTAGAAAACTAGTTTAGGCATAATTAATTTAAAAAGTTCAACTCACAACCGGCAGTTCAATACAGGCAAAATAATATGGAAAACTCTGGAGAAGTAAAAGAAATTTTCCTTTCAAAAATTTTTACTGCAACAGCAAAGGGTGATCATCGTTGTTGTTATGTGTTTACTAGAAAAGAGCTGAAAATATGCAATAAAGAAAAGCTGAACTGAAATCTCTTCTTACTCAAAATTCCTCAAAACTCGCTTACTATTTTCAAAGCTCACATCTGCTTCCGCAGTATTAGCTTTTTTCCTCTAACTAAGCAAAGGATTGCACATTGTGAAATTTTGACCTCAAAAATGCTGATAATTTGAATTTGAACTCAGCAATAAAAAGCAAATAAAGAATAAAATAGGCGAGGGAAATCGAATATCACATACGTGACAGTTGTTGAAAATTCACGTGTATAGATTTTTTACTGTTTTTTTTCATTATTTCTGCGTCAATCTTATTTCACAAAAAAGCTCAAAATTCTGCAGTGGCACACAATTCGATCGAATTAGGATTTAGCATCAGTAATATCAACCTCGCAATCCAACAAGTGCTACAACAGACGGTTTAGGAAATGGAAATGCAAAGTTCTGCCGATGAATGAGTATCAAGCTTTCCAAGTCGCTCGTTATTTCCATCTGGCTGCATGATGCAGAAGCGTGCAGGTTGACAACGTACCAAGAAAGTTATTAGATCTCTGCTTATTGGTGACTGCAAAACGAATGCCGTGAATTAAAATAGAGCTATAATTTCACAGATCGTATCATCTGAATGCGTTTTATCACCCACACACAGACAGTTGTCTGCTATAAAAGTAGCCGCTGTAGCCACTACAAAGCGAGGAAACTTAATTGTTAGAATTAAACAAAAGTTTGCAAGAATATTAACTCAATAGTATTCGGCCGCAATAGCCGACTGGTTAGTCCAGCGTGTTGCCACTGCGTAGGCCAGGGCTCGAATTCCGGTCTGACCAACATCCATATATATAGCAGATACATTTTTGTAATTGCGATCAAGCACTTTGAGCGTATTTTTGACATGAAATGACGAGCTCTTCATGAAAATCCATGAGTCGTTAGGAGGCGGCTTAGAATAAACTGGAAATCATAAGATTTGTTGGAAAGCCCCTTAAAATGCACACCACAAAGTAGGAGAAGAGCTAGGCGGAAAATCGCTTCAGCAGTTCCAATGCGCCAATTATGTTATATAAAAAGGGTTTTCCAATATGAGGTGTTATTTTGAATATTCTACTATTCCGATAGATTTCACTTTTGAAGTTGGAATTTTTTGACATAGTCCCACTGCAATAAAGAAATTGGTAGAAAAAATGGATCTTCTGGGAAAAGTTAGTGAAGAATAAAACACGTGCACATCGCTCAAGACCCACTGAAGCTATTTCTGTAGCCAAAAGTGTTGGAGAAAACCCGAAATTGTCCCTTTTTCGTCGTCCTTAAGAATTGCGCTTTTCACAAACGTCATTGCTCAGAGTTTGATATTAAGACTTGGTTCTTTAGGCTTACAAAGTTCAGTTAGCACAAGAACTCAAGCCGAACGATTATCAACAACGTCACGTGTTTGCTGTTTGGATCCTTTAAATGCATGAAAATTATACGGAATTTCATCGAAAAATCAACTTGACTGATCAGACTCATTTCCACCTCGATGACAAAACTGTCGCACTTGTAGACAACGATTTATTGTTGAAACGCCTATCAATCCTCAACGTATGACTGTTTAGTGCGGCTTATGGTCCGGCGAAAATGAGGCTAAAAAACCATTTACGGCGAAAGAATAATTAATGATTTTTTATGACCATCCAAGGTATTGTTCTAGACAACGTTTACTGTCAAGAAGACAGCGCTGCAAACTACATAAGTACCCAAACCATGAGTCTCTTGAGCGAAAAGTTTCCAGACCGTGTTATCGCTCGAAGACATGATCGTAATTGGCCACAAAGATCTTGTGACTTGCAATCTTCCGACTTCTTCCTTTGGAGGCACGCGAAAGATACAAAGTGTGACAATTAAGTAATGAGAATGATTACATTGCCGCGATTCCCTTCTCGCAGTATCCTTCTCCCCTTTATTGATATATTTGACATCACTCTAGCTTGTTCAGTTCGCCTGCTGTGTCGTGTTGAGAAAACGTCTGTTCGTGGTGCTCGTCATGATAATGAAAAAACGAAATCAAGAGCAACGCGTTGCGGTAAAATTTTGCGCCAAACTGGGCGAAACAGCTTCGGAAACGTACGCTAAAATTGTAAAAGTGCATGGAGATGGTGCTTCTAGTCATGCCCAGGTGTTTCGGCGGCGTAAAGAGTTTAAACGCGCATGAGCAAGTCGAAGAAGAAAACGATAATTACTGCCTTTTTTGATAGTCATGGAATCGTCCAGAAAGAATTTCGCCCAGACATCGCTCGTAACTGGATCCTTCATCAAGACAACGCGCCTCTAAAGGGATCATCGTGTGGCAACAACCGTCTTATTCGCCCGATGTGTCATGTTGTGACTTGTTTTTTCCCTAGAACAAAATCAGTAATCAAAGTAACCCATTTTGAGTCGATTGAGGATATCCAGGCAGCCCTGACCAGGGTACTCGCGGACATCCCAGTCGAGGTGTTCCAGGAATGTTACAAAGCATGGAAAAAGCGCTGGAATCGTTGTATAGCTGCCCAAGGGGACTTCTTTGACAAGGATAGCAGAGTTGTAGAATAACTTTGAAATATGCGATTTTTATCGAATCAGCCTCATTACTTAATTGTCATACCTCGTAGGATCTACGCCAACAGGCCAATGTCCATTCACGTCCTCAAAGATAGAATTCGTGAAGCTATTCAGGGCATACAGCAGCCACTTTGCGATTTGTTGATTGAAAATTTCATAAAAAGGGCGCTGTACTGTAAGCGTAGCTGTGGCGACCATTTGCAGTTTGTTTGCAGCATCTGTTGAAATCAGTCGACCTCAGTGCCCTCTGATAACTTCCTTTTACGACCTCAATCGAGTTGAAACGGCCCCGCAGAGGAATATATTAGTTGTCAACTAGAATTCAACTAGTTTACATTTTTACACCAATTAGCTCATCTTCATCTATTTTCCATGTAAGCAACTGGTATTTTTAACACGGCGAAGTCCTACGGACTGACAGTTGTCCTATTTTGCATCAGCTTCATACTAGTTTAATACTAGTTCATTTAGGCATGTTGAATTTCTATTTCCCGGCAGCGAGAATCGAACCGGGACTCTCACGCGCCACAGTAAAGACCTCTGACCACCAGACTATCGTTATGATTTATGAAGGAACGAAATCTGAAAACAATAGTTGGTAGTTTTTAGGAAATGAAACTCAGCCGTGCCAAACTAAATACAAAAACAACATCCGAATGACGTGGAAGTAAAAGTTTCTGTTTCACCAAAAATTAAAAAAAAAAATTAAAATTAAAAAATTCTGTTTTACCAAATATTAAAAAAATAAAACTTAAAAATTAATTTGCCTCCAGCGGGCTACTCGGCTATCATGACTATTCAACGGTCAATACGATTTTGCGCACTTTAATAGAACAGAGCAGAGAATGGAATTCAGTCGCGGTCTGCCGATATAACAACAACAAACAGTGGTGGATATTATTATTTCAGCCTATACTGGTGGACTTCTTTACAACTAATGAACTGGTATAATTTCATCTTCAACATACTAGTATTAAACTAGACTTTTTCACACTAGTTGGTTTTCCCCCGGAGGGGGTTCAACGGAGTGGTAACTTCAGTTTTGGAAACAAAAAAAACATATGACCAAATCCGATGGTTGATCGATGGTATTAAATGAGTTTTTGGTATTAAAATCGATCACAACTACAGCTCAGGGCGATGGCGCATTATCGTCTTGAAAGTTTCCTTAAATTTTTGGCCCACAAAGTTCTCACTGGCACAATTCCGGCCGTTGACGGCGGATGTTTTCGGGCAAAGGCCGCTCGAATAATTGTTCTCTTTATTAACAGTCTGTCGCGTTGGAAGGAATTCATTATTATATACATATATCTATTTATATATAGTTAATCTCACATCTAACCGCCTTATATGGTTATATTATATAGTCATCACGAATACTTTATACAATAGAAAATCAAAGCCACATTAACCAGTGTATACCCATTGCTCACTAATCATTATTTTTACTTTGTCTCCTTTGCCACAGGTACTCAAGCCTTGGTGCGGCCAGGTAGCCCGCAAAGCTCCATCTCCACTGAAGATCGCACTTCGTTAGCACAAATTTGCAAAGCGAAAGCACTTGTCGATAGTATGCCGAATCCATATGATAAGGACGCACTCAAGTTTAAGGTAAGTAAGCAGCTCAAATGCAAATAGACTCAGGGAAATCCTTTTTCCCACGCTGCCAATGCTTTTTGGCATTTAGACTTTTGGTTATCAGGCTGACAGTGACTTCTTTCAAAGTTAACTTAACACTTACACTCAAATATTTTTATCTTCGATACACTTTTGAGTCAAACAAAACTCGTTCGAGTACACTTAACGGTGTTAAAGGTTACCATTGCATTTTCAATGTCTGCCATTTGCAGTGAATGTGAAATGTCAAGGTTTTCACAGCAACAACTCTGTTACAGCACAACACTTTGTATAAGTAAGTTCCTTTCTCGAAGACAGCCAACGAGTGTACTTCACAATTTTAAGCAAATTTTATTCAGCAACAGCAGTTGCAGCTGAAAGTCTTTATTGCTCTTCCATTGGCGATTACGTTTTATTTTCTTGCCGACATTTCATTTCGCTACCGGCGCACCGGCTCACCGGCTCTTAATCGTTTCGCCCTCTTTAAATTAATCACTCCTTTTCTCTTCTTACTCCTTACAGAAAGGTGACATAATCGATGTGCTGTCAATGAATGCCTCTGGCATCTGGAAGGGTCGTTGTCACGGCCGTATCGGTCACTTTAAATTCATCAACGTTGAAGTGTTGCCCGAACAACGCTTAAAATCATCGAATAGTAAAATTCTCTGTGCCGGCGGCTTGAGTATGGGCGGCATTGGTGGTGGCGTTGGCATGGGCGGTAGCGCTGGTATGCGGCATGTTGGCAATAATGGGCCGAGCTCCGTTGAGGATTTACTCTTTCGCATTGGCCTGAAGGAGTATACATCGGTGTTCGTTTTAAATGGGTAAGTGGCGTAAAATTTAATTTCTTTAACAAAATATAATTTGAAAGTGTAAAACATAGTTTTGAAATGGTATAATTATGCTTCCTCAAAAACGTACATTTTTAAGTTCATCTATTGATTTTAGTTAAATTTCCTAATTAATATTCCTAAATCCATATTGAGTTTGAGATATCCAACTGCTACCGATGTAGTAATTTTTTTTGTTGTTGTAGCGATATGTTAACCCCGCTCGGGAGTAGTCTAATTTATCGAGCTATTTTAATAGGCGGAAACGAGCTGTTTCTAGGGGTTCAGACCAGTAGGGAAAGAGATGTTAAAAGAGTTAGTTTTAAGGGACGTACAAAGAGGGAGTTAGTATTGAGCGAGAACTCATTCCATGCCGGACATACATTGGGCATGTCGGGGTCAAGTTTAGAAAGATAGGATCATAGTCTACAACAATACCTAAATCTAAGTAGTGCCAGTATTCTCGAGTCATCTCGAGCACCTCGTCTGCAATAGTTGGTAGTTTGACTCAGGGAATGCCATTTACTGGAAGAGTAGACAGACTCTTGGTGAATGGCATTTATTGTCTGTCAGTTCGCCGTCCTGCCCAGCGGTTGTTGTAGGTGATGCCAAATGCGGTCTTTAAGATCGAGTAGTCTCCGGCTGATGTGGCTGGGTGGTTGTAACGCTTCCAGTAAGTGTCTGTTGGGTGGTTCTCTACGGTATCATTGCAGTAGGAATTGCTTGCGCCAAAAGTGGTGCTCTGGCGATATCAGAAGGTTTCCTGCTACGGTCCTAAGGTCGGTCTTTCGGTCGGCTGTAACTTCTTCAATTGTGTCTCGCTAGTTCCCGATGCCCAGATCGGTTCGGCGTAGCTTACGACCGGGCAACAAATTGCCTTATAGCTTGTCAACAGCATTTCTTCGCTTTTGCTGCCAGCTAACGCTTTGCGAATTTTGGTGCGGCTCTGAAGTTTGGAGGCAACGGCAATCGTGCATGCCGACGAATGTGACTACCAGTAACTTTTCGGTTGTTTATAGTCGCCATCGACTTTCACACCGAATTCGAGCCAATATTTTTTTGTGCAGCTGGTGAAGAAGGTAGCCGAGGATTTTGCTGGTTAGGAAAGGTCGTCGCTATAGCAGTTCACTTTCGAGCTTAAGCCATCAATATGCTGGCCAAATGGCATAATTAGGCAATCATTATTATATAAGATAAGTCAAACCTCTTCCGGTGGAGAAGAAAAGGAAACCTTTGTTGAAAATCTTTCTGTGTTCCGATGTTTCCAAGTTTGACCTCGAACACCAACTCTCACGACTCCGGTTCTAAACAAGGAAGCTGACTCAGATCTTAACCGGCCAACGGTTATTATTATTTTAGCAACCGAATCACGAGTAGGCCAGTGGGTAACAGATGTTGTAATCAAAGGTTGTGCTTGTGCCGGTCGTGCAACTCCTATGTTTCCTGCATTTCAAAAGCTGTTCGACTTGAAGATTCTTTCAGTTCCTCTTCTTCTTTACTGACATAGACACCACTCAGGCGATCATAACTGAGTTAACAACAGCGCGGTCATCTTTCTTCTTAATGCAATTTGGCGCCAATTGGAGGTACTACGTTCGGGCAGGGCTTCTCCAAAGGGCCTTTTCAAACTTAATGCTAGTTTTGAAGAAAAGAATGGCTCTATTGGTTCAAAATTAACATGTCTGTCTAGTGCCATGGATAACTACCATGTAGAGTATGTAAATATTAGGTAGTCTTCGTTTTTTACGTTTTCGGACTTTTTTTAAGAAACTTTCTTTCGAGCACTTATTTGATAGGGTTTTGTGAGCGTTTGCAAATTTTAATCTCCCACAAAAATTCCTGGTTTTTTAATACAAATAACTTTTTTTTTCTTTATTTCTTAGTTACGAGGACCTGGAACTGTTCAAAGAGCTGGAGCCAGCTGATTTAGATTACTTGGGCATCGTCAATCAGGAACATCGTGCCAAATTGCTGACAGCTGTGCAATTATTGCACGATATTGAATGTAAGTGTCAACCTATGCATGTTGTATTTTTTCTCTTTTCATTTCCTTAGAAACCCTTAACAAGCTTACAAGTCATACACAGGTTTTCGATAGACTACTAACCCCATCTTCAACGTCTTCGTTGTTTCGCTACAGCTTCTAATTTCTCTCAAACAGGTTCTGATGGCGATATCGCCGGTTCGAGCTCGGAGAATGATGAAGCGCGCTTGAATAACATCAATCAGAAACATGGCGCATCACCTTTCGGACGTCGTCACTTCCCACGCGATTCGGGCTGCTATGAAGGCTCACCGGTGCCCACCTCACAGACACCCACACATAATGTACACTCCACCGATGAATCGAATAGCCTGGACGATGTTGTAACAAAGTGCTCCAGTGAGATCATGAAACGTGTTGAAAGTGCGCGTCGCCAAAAGGAGAATCCCTTCAAAGCCGGTCTATCGGCGCGTGTTGGCAAGAAGGCGCTGCTGGGCGCCGGCCTCATCGGTGAAGACACACTAACGCGCGGCGGTGGTCTGAGTGAGAAGTCAAGCGACTCGGGAGTTAGCAGCAGTTCGCTGTCATCTGGTCCGATGAAGAATAGCACTTAACACTTACCCACCATACTCGCGCACGAGCTGATGCTTGGTGTCGGCTTACCCGGCCCTGGCGTTGGATTGGGTGGTAACGGCGGCGGCGGTGGCAACAGTATATGCGGTGCGCTAAGTGGCGGCGGCGCTACATCACCTACAACTTCCACCGCCTCTGCAGGTATTGTCGGCTGTGGCAGTAGTAGTGGCAACGGCGGTAGCGGCAGCGGCTTTGGTATATTGCTGGGCTCTGCCTGCAGTACACTGCCACATCCACCATCATCCGCAGCTGCAGCTGCTGCGGTGTCCAACGCTTTGGCAGCGGCATCAGCAACATGTGGCGCAGTGGGCAGTGCAACGGCGAATTTAAATAGAAATTTGGTAATACTCCGAAATCATTTGCGCAAAAACACAAACATACCGGCAACAGTGACATCGACGACATCAGCGGCGCAGCTAGCATCAGCAGCAGCAGCATTGACGTCGCTGCCGCCAGCACCCACAGCCGTCAGCATGGGTATATTTAACGACATTACGCCCACCAACAGCGACACCAGCATACTCAGCGGTGCGTTGAGCAGCGCCACCATCAACAATATTAACACCAATTTGGATAGGGATCAATAGCGCAGCAGTAAATTAAGTGGTATTTTTCATTTACTGCCGTTATTTCGTTATTTTAATTAAAAAGCAACAACAAATAATAATAGTTTTATGAGAAAAGGACATAAATTAATTTGAATAAGAAAAAAATTAAAATTAAATATGTTAAATAAGTAAAAAAAAAGTACATACCTTATTATTACCTAACTGTATATGTACATAAATAGAACACTTGTATATGTAAATTTTGCTGTGATGATGCGTTCGAATGGGCTTCAGTTCAAATGTACAGTAAGTTAATAAAAAAAAAATGCATTGTATCAGAAAATACACACACACACACACAGACGTACGCACGCACGCACACATACACACACGCACTCATATATAGTATATAAAATTGCATAAATGCTGATGAGCACACTTTAGGCATACAAAAATCACCGCTTTTATATACAATACACATATGTACATATGTAAATAGAAGAGCATAATATATGTACATATTTCATGTGAATATTTTGTATTTGTAATTTGAGTACTTCCTCAGGTGATGGCATTTAATAAATTGCATTTAATTATTATATATTTTAGCTGCATTTTTTACGCATTTATGTAAATTTAATTAAAGCAACAAAAAACACACAAAATAACAAAAAAAAAAAACAATTAAAAATAAAAAAAAGAATTAAAAATATGAAAGAGTGAATTTTGCAGTGGCAAAATTACAAACAACACACATACAACAGACTAATTAGCATACATATATACATATACATACACTTACGACCTAAATGAAATTAAAAATCAAACACATACACACACATCATGGTGATGATGTAGGCATAAATATATAAATATATCTATAAATACAATAAATACGTGATATTTCAATACGTCCATGACTTTGTTTTGCGATTTGTCGTTACTTATACATACATACATACATACATACATAGTTCATTAGTATTAAAACCGTATTGCTATATTCATTGAATTATTTTATATTTTATTTGTTTTTTTACAATTTTCATTATTCACATTATTTATTGATTTTCCACCTTTTTTACTTTATACATAAATACCACCAGTAAATTCACACATATAATTCTATTTTTATATATTTTTTATTTTGTTATTCCTCTCACCAGATTTACATCCACTTAATTGCTTTTGTGATTATGAAGAATCATATTGCGAAAGAGCCACCCCTCTGCAGTGAAAAAAGCATGAAAAGTGAGGAAAAAAGTAAACATTTTTATGAGCACAAAAACACTGTGCTATGCTCTATAGAAAATTTAAACGTTTATTAACATACATACTCGTTATATACGCGTTTACACACACAGCTGATGTACCTCTTTATGTAATACTTTTGATATCCAACCACTTTTCGGAACAATTTGATACTCTAAATTTTTGTTTTTAGCCTAAATAACAGTCCAATCAATCGTACAATAATGCCACAGGATAAAATAATACCGAATGATTTGAAAAAGTTCTCAACCACCGCACGTACATCAGTTGCATTAAAAACCAAATTTTCGCTGGCTGTCGAAAATCGAGTATTGAATTCCAAATTCAATTTCTGAGCCCAGCTAGTCTATCGATATCGAACACCCGATCAATATCCAAAAGTTTCAGAAATATAATTTGTATAAAAAAAAATAAGTTCATACTTCGAATTCTGGTCGTACCCCGTCAGGGAATGTCAACCCCTCCCTATTTATTTCTGAAGCAAAAGCTCCTCATAAAAGCCCATCGCTCCTTCCGAGGCTGCTCTTATTTATTGGAAAATGTAGGTCCCTCCACTTGTTGGAAAACATTCAAGCGCGTGCCATAAATTGGAGGAGGCGGTAAACTTAACGCAATGAATTTGCAGCGTCGAAACGAAAAGAAGTTGTTAACAGGTATGTTCGGTCACCTGATGGGTAGTAACAATTGTTACTGCATCTTGCAGAATGGCGTGTGGTAAGGCAAAAAGTCAGTTAAATTAGTAATGAGATGAGCGCAATTTTGTTAAGTTTAGTTTGGAGAGAATGTAGCGTACTCGTGCTGGTTAAATTTCGGCCTAAAAAAGCAAGTATGAAAAACAGCTGATTTATGAACATTTTGCACCAAAACAAAATTTTATCAATAACGAAAATAATATTAATAATTTAATAAGAATTATACAAAATGAATGATTTAAAGTGATTTTGCTTCATTTTACTGAATGATAAAAACGATGTAGCTAAATAGTTAAGATACCCGTCACAAATAAACCTGATGGCAATGGAGTGAAATTAATGCACGTCCACCACTCAGCCTACATTAACGAATTGAAAGTTGGTAATGTTCAAGGCAATGTATTCCTATTTTTTGTACAAAGGCATGGCTAATTCTTGATTCCTTTGATTTACTAGAAAGTAGTGTTCACCAAATGAGCCGCGAAGCATTGCGTGGCAACGTTCTTACTGCGGTTACTATGTATTTTTAACGTTCATACAACACGTTAGTAATATTGAAAAGGAAAATTAAAGTTCTTCCCAAATATGCTTGCACTTTAGGTAAAAAGATACTAAATTCTAGAATAATGATCAGTTAATTTTGCCCATATGCACGGCAAAAGTTTTCCAGGCGCATTTTCGCATTGCAATTATCCATACTGAAAACCGAAATGACAAATTTTGGAAAGGAATTTTTACATAAACCTTTGGTCTTTCAGAGGACTAACAGAAAAATCTTATTGGTATCTTTATGGTTTAACGGCCATGAAGCATGCAGAATTGCATCATTGCTACATTACAATAATTTTTTTATACAATTATTAATTTCGAAATGCCAAATGATTGCCAATTTTATTAAAATACTTAGCAAAAAATATTCAAAAGCAGAAAACAATAAACTATTTATAAGAAAATATTCAAATGTAACTGCCAAAATAAAGAGCTGTTATATTTACAACTTGCTTGCTAATTTTTACTGAACCCCGCCCGTTGAAAATTTAATAAATTACTCCATTTGAAAGTGGAAAAAAATCTTACGCTCTCAATTTCTTTACTGATTACTTCTTACTGACATTACTCACCGAACAGAGCTAATGTTCAAACCGTATAAACTCATTGTTACAATAACATTAACCTTAAAATGTCTACTTGCTATGGTTTTAACAGCACACATTTCAATTTGAGCCGTTAACATTCAGGGATGTTACAGAATCAGATTTCCGCGAGCTTAGAATGAATGTGAGAGCGACAAAAAAGGTGTAACTTGCTTTACCGCAAGCGGTTTGAATCCGTGCTACCCTTCGATTCGAGTCAATATAGTGTGTTACAGAAACTGACTTATCGGTTTAAATAAATATCAGACGGATTAGACAGTATTGTGCGCTAACTTATTTGCGAGCTAAAATTCAATAAAAGTGTAAGTCATGAACATAGTGTCTGTAATACGGTATTTTGTCAATCACTCTCAACCTTAACCAGCGCGGGCAAAAAAACCACCGTTCAAAAGGCTTTAGCAATTCTGTTATAACCACCGAGACTGTAGGCCGCACACAGACCGCTGATAGGAGTCTTCTGCCAAAAATCGCATTGTTGCTGTTAGTTGGAGCCCAGTTGGGATGAAGAGCCAATCTAACTTGTCTTCAATGAAATCCAGCATTTCTATACAGACTTCCTTGTTATGACGATATTTGTCTATGAATCTACATACAAATAATTTTTTTATTAAAGTATAATATAAAACTTGAATGCAAACTGCCCTTGCATCGGCTCTGGCAGCACCAGCGGATTGCTCTTATCTCTTAAAATTTTGCGCTTTATTTTCTCGCTGGTTTCTCTAAATCCTTCTATAATGTTTTTGCGACCAGTTTTAAGTGAGCTAAGGTCCTAATTTGTTTGTATGATAGCTGCTTCGGAGATCACCAAGTCTCGTCATCAGACTTCCCATGGCAAGTATCGACCCAATGATATAAGGGACGAGTGTTTTCCCACTGCGCCAACATCATCCAAATAATTTAGTGTTGTATTTTTGATTTTCTTATTAACCAACAACTATTAATTGCGCTAATTTTAAGTTTCCATCTAATTCGAAATGCGGTTCCAGAACACCATTTCAAACAGATATTGATTTCTAATTCCGATAATTAAGCAAGTCAGTGTCAGTTTCAAAACACACCTGAATATCTCTTAACGAATTTATGATATTAACAGCAGACTGCAAGTGTAAAACTTAACATTAACTGTTAACGATTTAACATTAACGACAGCATTTCGTTTCGGGTAAACAGGAAATCATTAATAGCTTTGTCTATTGAGATTAAAAATAGAGTAGAGCAAATCAAGTTCTAGCAGAACAGAGCAGCTGCAAAAAAAAAAAAAACAATAGAGTGAGTTAGAGCAACTCAGAGCAAAAAGCTCATGAAAAATTTTTCGGGCAGCAATTTTCAATTCCGAAATTATTTGAATTTCGAATTATGAACAAACTAGAGATTTTTATAATTTTTTTTCATATATTTCATAATAAAATTTATTATTTTTACCGTCACTTGTATTTAAGTTGTTTATTGTAGTCCATGAACATGCCGTTCCTTTATTTTGCACGCTTTGGTTTTCTAACCGCGAGTCTGACAAAAAAAAAATCTTATTGCTTGCTCCAAGTTACGCTACCAAAAAATTCAGAGCAGAAAATCGTGAACTGAGTTGCTCTATTTCTGCTTAGAGCAGTCTCTTGAAACAAAAAGAAGAGCAAATAAGAGCATAAAAGCTTTTATGAAACACAATTTTTTGAGCTAGAGTAACCTGGCGGAGCGTAGAACAGCTCAATAAACAAACCTAATATGTATTATGGTAACGGTTTTAACTATTAAATTTCCAAATGTTTAAAATGAAATGTTCCAATTTTGTTTAATGGAAAATTTATAGTTACGATGCAGCCTTGATATAAATATGTATGTATTTAACGATATTGGAAATTTTCCTTATGACTATGGAATTCTGTTCTGAATTTATTTAATGCATTTTTATGGCATACAAAATTTTTTATTTTTCATTTTAATTTTCTTCTTTTTTTTTGCGATAGAAAACACCTCATTTGGATAGAGACTATTGCAATTAAT